ACCCATCTAGACAAGATGAAAACTATTCAGTAGGGACTCTTTCTTCCCCCACATACTCTTAAACTAAACTCCCCCTTGAAAACTTGTAAGCCAGTCACTTTATGCCTTTATCACCCCCTCATTTTAGGTAGCCAAGGAAATGTTTCTAATATGTTGTCTATCAAAAAGTATTCCAATATTGTTATACAGAACTAACACTTAACAAATGAATGCCAGAAGAAGGATTAGCTCTCAAACACAAGGAAAACTGTCTTTTTGTTTTGTTTTAATCATCCATGCTGTTTTGTTGTTCCTACTCCCCTTTGGGAAATAAGAATCCAAACATATTCCTAAATATATCTCTCCTCAAAACTACAGCCTAAGGCTCTATTGCTTACTACTTACTCCTTGGTCTGAATTTGAACGCTCTCTATGACTTGACCCTTCTCTCCCTAACTACCTATCCCTCCCCACCCCCTTCAGCAAAAAGCCCTTTGTTTCTTTCAAAATTCTTTTGTGTCTGTTTTTTAATTGCAGCAAAAAATATATAATATAAAATCTACCATGTTAACCATTTTAAGTATACAATTCAGTGGTATTAATTATTTTCACAACGTTATACAACTATTACCGTTATTTGCTCCCAAAACCTTTTCATCACCCCAGACAGAAACTCTGTACCCATGAAGCACTCCCCATTTCCTCCTCCCTCTAGTTTACTTTCTATCTTTTATACATTTGTGTAGTCTAGATATTGCACCTAAGTGGGGTCACACAGGACAATTCCTTCGTGTCCTCCACTAACTGCATGGTTCCTGTGTCTCCAGGCTGAGGCTCACATGGTGCTTCTCATGCCTGGAGTTACCATTCTTGTCAGTTCATCCAAACCTTCTCCTGTACATCTTAGCTCAAACTCAGTTCTTTTCAGAACACGTCTCCTACTAGACTGTCAGATGCAGTAAGACAATTATGTACTTTCTCTTTTCAGACATACCCTTCTGAAATTCTCTTTCTGGTTACAGGTAGCTTGGTTTATAGAAATCAAATGGAGACATGTGCTATCAAGTTGTAATCTTTCCTCTACATAGAGCACGGCATGCAGTGTCATTTAAAACCTTTCACAGAATATATATATAGCATGTGCTCCTTGACATGGATTATAATAGGATAATCGCTTCTGTGATCAACACATTACAATTTTAAGATGCTAGAAAAAGGATATTTTCTAGGCTGAACGTTTCATTGACAATGTGCTTCAATTCTCCAGCAATGTTCTTAAAAACAATAAAAAAGATTTCAAAGCATAAAAATGATCATCTATAATAAGCAACTGCAAATATCTTTCTAAATTTAAGATAATGATGCTATCTTAAAGTTAAAATAGAACCACAGAATAATAGAAAGAAAAATAAAGAGATCATCTGACCCAGCTTTCTAGCTTCAGTGACTTGAGGTCTTAAAATCATTTAAGGTAAATTGTTAAGAGAAGAGATATAGGCTCAAGCGACACCAGAGATGGAAGCAGAGATGAGGACATGGAGAGAGGGAGTAGCTGGGGACTCGGGACTCATGGAAAGAGAGGGACTGGGTGCTGGTGGCCCGGAGGCAGGCTTGCACAATGTGTCCTTTGGTTGTTTAAATTATTATACATTCCTGAGTGTTTTTGTGTACATCCCCACTCCCCACCCCTCAAAAAACAGAGGGAATGGAAGCAAATACTGTTGAATGATGATACATGGAGGAGACTGCAGTCCTTGCAATGAAATGATTGTGTAAAGCCGATGTTCTCCCATGTAAACTATCACTCAGTTCACAATAAAAACTTAAAAAAAAGAGAGAGAGAGAGAGAGAGAGAGATAGGCTCAGCCCATTCCAACATATATAAGCACACACACACATATGATTGTAAAAAATGCTATAGCACTTTCTGCCATCACACATAAAAAGGATATGTAAGCGGCTCATTAGCCTTCTCTTTTATTAACTGAAACTTTGATCTCATAATAAGGTCACTTTTCCTTTCAATTATAATTGTGCACATATTTGTTGTTGTTATTAAGTGCCAGGGAGTTGGTTCCGACTCACAGTGATCTTGTATTGGGTTTCTGAGGGGTGGCTGATGAGCTTGAACCGCTAACCTTGCAGTTCAAACCAACCTTGCAGTCCAGTGAATTAACCCTCATCACCACACCAGGACTCTTATATAATATGTACAAATTATTTGTCTCTAACAATTATGCAGCAAGATACCTAGGTAAGTGAGCTATTTTGGATTGCAGAAGCTTGAGAAGGCCAGGCAGGACACTTGTGCTAGTATGTGTCAGTACTACCAGCAAAGCGGAAGAGAGCAGGAGTCAGGGAGGCAGAATAAACTAATAGGTTTATAACCATTTCCCCAGGACTATGAGTTCTGGTGTGCCTCTGTAGGATACACATTAGACTGCTGACCACAAGGATGGTGGTTCTATGAGTCAAAACCGATTCGATGGCACTTAACATGGTGAAAAGACTAACAAATAGTTGTTAGAGCACTTTTCAGGGTAACTTCATAGTATCATGACATACGTTACCCCCATCGATTTATTAACTCATTTAGCAAATATTACAAAACACGTACAGCGAGTCTGATACTTGTTACGGGCTGAGATAATAGTGGTAGGCAAGTCAGACATAATACTTACAGACTGGTGGTGCTACAGATCATTTAAGAAGCTATTATAACACAGTGAGATAAGAGGATAGGGAAGCACAAACATTGCAGAAGGGTTCCCATGGAGATAAGAGATAGGGGTATTTCTACTGTTAAGTGCAAACTACTTTTCCTGTTGCAGAGGATAATGAGAGGATTTAAAGAAAGCTGTGTTACAGGTGATTTGCTTTTTTTCTTCTTCTTCTTTCTTTTTTTTTAATGGTGATTTGCTATTTTTAAAAGAGGTATAGCAAAAGTCTCTGGGACCAAAACCCTGGATTCAAGGTTCTCCACAGATGTTTCCAGTCCTCAAACAGGCAGTTTTAAAACCTTAGTTAGAGAAGAAAGACAAAACCAGCAACCAGCTGGAGGTAGTGGTCTTCCAGCCCTACTTGAAAACAGTAGACTGATTTGTAGGAAAGGAAAAACAACAACAAAAAAGAAAAGCTCAGAAAGGAAGTAAAGACGGAAAGAATTTTGGGCAAAGTCCTCTAGATTTAGGGAAAGCAGTTTTTAAAATGTTTTAATAAAAACATAAGAATAATTCTTGCATATCGACTTTAAAAAAGGGAAAGTGGTCAAGCAAGCTAAAAAATGCGGATGTCACAAATGACCTAACAGAGAAACCACAGAGCTCCAGGAGTTAAAGGTCTAACGTGAGATACAGCAACAGGAAAGCCAGCCTGAGTAAGCAATGGAGGATTTAACTCTGGCCAGCAGAGGAGAGCTGAAGGGAAGAGGGCTGAACATGGTAGAAGCAGGCTATGAGCAGGCTGTGGAGGACTTCAGTGCTCCATGAAGGAATTGGGACTTGCAGGCACCAAAAGGCACAACTTTTAGAGCAAGAGTTTGACGTGTTTCTCTATGAGGAAGACAAATCTAGTCACTGCACATAAAACAGATTGGACATGGGAGTTATGAGAGACATGAGAGGCAGGCAATCCAGTTAGGAACATGTGAGGAGGTTTCAAAAAGTTCATGGAAAGATTCTATTATCTTTTAATTAAAAAGTTCCATTTTCCCATGAATTTTTTGAAGCCTCCTTGTATTACAAGAGTTCTGCAGAGAGAGTGGGGACTAAAGTGGGGAATGGGAGATCAAAACAAGATGGGGCGATCCTAAAGATTCTCCTCATAGGAATCTGATTAATGAGTTGATAAGATCTTTCTATTGCTGACTGGGTTTCAAGTCCGTCATGTGACAAATACCACGCTATGCATAATTGTTCAAAGAAGTTTCCTGAAACAAAAGTGTTAAGATATGTAAAGGCATGCCTTTATATTTAAAGCTCATACTTCCTTCTGTGATAGAGCTGGTAAAAAGTTCTGGTTCAGTTATTGGCACTGGATTCTCCTCAAAAGCAGTGTTTCCAGACTCTGCTGCTTTGTGGTTCTGAGAATGGTCAAAGCCTTCGTAGCGTCCAGCTTGCGTGGTGCGGTTCATGCACATGAGCGCCACCCCGGCTATCAGAATGCTACCGAACAGGGTGACTGCTGTGGTGATCATCTGCCAATGTTGGAAAAAGATAGGAGACTAGTGTTCACAATCACATCTTATCTTAGCATTGTAGGTTAAAAAGAACTATTTTGGTAGATAATACATTTCCACAGCTTTAAATATTACAGAATAGTGGCTCTTAAAAAAAGGGGAGGGTAGTGGCTGTAATCAGAAATGAAAATTATATGAGGAAATTTTTTTTTTTTAACTATAAAAGTTTAAAAAAAAAA